CAAAGGAGTTGGCCTGATCTCTAAATGGCAGAGACATTAATCTCCTAGCAACGAAGGGGAAGGAATTGAGGAAGGGTAGGGTGTGTGGGTGGAAGGAGGTGGGGTTTGGGGGTTGGAGTTCAGCTCTGGGACCGGGAGGAGAGGCTGCGGGAAGCTGGAGAGACTGCCTGGTTCTTCTTCTTTTTTTTTTTCCTGTCGGAGGAGAGTCTTTACTGCTGTTCTCTGCTCAGTTGTTGATGACTGCAGGCCTGGCTCACCGCGAAATCCTCACCAGCTGAAGGTCATGAGTGTTCTTCCATTGGAAGAACTTTCTGTTTTATTGCTGTTTTTTTTGTTTCCCTCCCCCTTCCCCCCTCCTCCCCCACCACCCGGCGGCAGCCAAGGATCTCACAGCGCCGCCTGGTGACGGGCACTGGACATTACAAGTTCTACTCCTCCAGTGATCCAACAGCGCCACCTGGTGACTCCTTCAATTGGAGCCTCTTAATTTCGGATTTATAATTGTTTAGACAAGGAAGTTTGGGTCTCTTTCTCCTAATCCATCCTCAGCAAAAGACCTTTGTCTCATTTAAACTGGAACAAGGGGATGAATTATTCTACAAGTAACTGGCAGATGTCTCAAAATCGCCAACCCTTGTTCTTGTGGGCAACTTCAACCTGCCGGATATCTGCTGGGAGTTCAATACTGCAGAGAAGAGGCAGTCTAAGAGATTTCTAGAGTGTATAGAGGATAATTTCCTGCTCCAGCTGGTAAATGAATCTACCAGGGATGGGACCCCACTAGACCTGTTGTTTACAAACAGAGAGGGGCTGGTGGGAGATGCAGTGGTCAGAGGCCGCCTGGGGCACAGTGACCATGAAATAATAGAGTTTGCAATACTCGGATGCAAGACCACCAATAAAACCTCTGCACTGGACTTCCAGAGGGCAGACTTTGGCCTGTTCAGAAGACTAGTCCAGAGCATACCCTGGGAAAAAACCCTTGGAAACAAGGGGGTACAGGAGGGGTGGACATGCTTCAAGAAGGAAGTCTTGAGTGCACAGGAACAGGTTGTACCAGTGTGCCAAAAGGCAAACAGGTGGGGTAGACAACCAGCTTGGTTTAACAGGGAGATTCTGAAGGAAATCAGGGATAAAACGAGAACTTGGACTCCCTTTATTAACATTTAAGAACCAGAGTGACAGGGTCAAATTTATTTACCACAATATAGAAAGTCTGAAAAATAATCCACATTCTGGAACTCAAATACATCAAGGGGCAATAAACAAAGGGCATTTCCCAGGTCAAGTTTGGCCAATTGATTTCTCTGAACTCCCAAGAAAAAGGGAGGTTTTCTTACCTTTTAGTTTTGACTGGCACATTTTCTGGGTGACCTGAATGAAGCATTCCCATGCAGAACAAATGAATCAAGAGAAGTGGTTAAAGTCTTGTTGAATGAAATAATACCATGGTTTAGAATACCTACAAGTATATCCTCGAATAGAGGATCCCAATTCTGTGCAGAAACCGTACAAGCAATAAGTAAAGTGTTAGAAATTAATTGACAATTGCATATTCCATACAGATCCCAAACAAGTGGGCAAGTAGAAAAATGAACCATCTCACTAAACAACAAATAGTCGAAATCTGTCAAGAAACAAATTTGCATTAGTATCAAACTTTACCTATTACTTTAATTTGAATCAGGGTCAAACCGTGGTGTAAAGAAAAACTAAGTCCATTTGAAATTCTGTATGGTAGACCCTAGGGAGTGAATAAGATTAACAGTGAAGCTTTGGATCATATAGGTAATCAATATGTGTATGATTATGTTATAACTGTGGGGAAATGTCATGGGTTTGCTCTGGGCCAATTTCCTCTCACCCCCTGTATCAGGGATTGTTGATATTTTTTGGTCTGTGTTTGACCCAGCCATTGTTCTTTGCCTGCCAAGTTGACTGATATATATGAGCTTGTCCTTGGAGAGAGAGTTTCTTGTAAAAACTGTTTTAATTGGTGTTCTGTGATTGGCTGGTTGTCTGTAGAGGACATTTGAAGGAGAAACTGAAGAGGAGAGGATGAAGTAAAGCCCCCAGACCCAAATAGATAAGACTTCTTGAGTGAAACAGCGCATGCTATAGGGAAATTCCAAAGTTCTCACACATGCGCTGAGGGGGTACGCTTACATAATGAGAGGAGGGGCTGAAAGCCTCTAGTTGGGCAATGCTGGCCACATGAGTCAAGGTAGACATCACCAGCTAATTGGATAAAAATGCAGGTTACTCGTGCTCTCGGCACTCTCAAGCTTCACATGAAGGGCAACGTTGCCTATTGCGAGGATGCCTGCTATCTTTGTGAGCCTGCTGACCCTCTGAGGATGCAGCCTCTGCCATGGGGAATTCTGGTTATTCTGGGGTCAGTAAGACAACCTCGTAAAACACACCTGCATGAGTGGGGAATTCACTGAGGGCTTAGTTCACTCCTCCCCTTTCCTGTCTCTCAGGTTCCCGTTTACTTGACCACTTTTGTCATAAAGATTGGATTTATTGTTGAACTCTCAGCATTGTCTTGGTTTCCAATCTCGGCATCCTTTCGAACTCACCCAGTTACAACCCCTCACACAATTGTGATAAGTTGAGAGAAGGTTTATGTGGACAAAAGAGATTCGATAGAGGAGAATAATATTGGGATTTATTACTAATAGGATAAAAACTAAAGAACTATATATATACAACAATTCTAATTAGGCAAAAATACTTTGTATTTACAATACCTCTTCCCTCTTTGTATCAGTTCAGGAGGAGAAGCAGTCTCTTTTCTGATTCCGGAGTTACAGGTCTTTTAAATAACTCTGCAAAACTTTAAAGTTTTTCTTCTATTATCTCTAGGGCGACAACTCTGATTCATTGCAGTTGGATCAGTTTCTTTTTCTCTCTCTCTTCTCTTTCGGCCTCAGGGCTGGGCCTACCCCCCTCCTGGGCTAAGACTGGAGGCGGGGGGCTTACCCAGGCCCTGTAAGGTCTTCCATGGACTACAAGGAGACACTTACCTACCATGGATCTTCACCACAGGGTCACAAGGGATAATGGCTTTTGAGTCCACTCCTCTTTCCTGTGGGGTCTCGCCTCATGAAAGAAGTCTTTGATGGATCTCTCCATTGTGAGGTACCTTTCGGGCAACAGTTCTTCCATTCTCTTATGTCCCATAGGATCACAAAGTCAACTGCACCAACATGGATCCCTCACCGAGATCCTAAGCCTACCTGGGATGTCTATCTCCAGCATAGGTTTCTCTCTCCATGGGCCACAGGTCTCCAGCAAGACTGTTTTATCTAGGCTTCCCACGGAGTCACATTTTCTGTGTGCATTCCTCTGCTTTGACATGGGCTCCTTTATGAGCTGTAGAGGGTGGTCTCCGCTCCCCAACAGTTTTCCACAGGTGGCAGGGATTTTAGTTTTCAGTCTTTTCCCTGCTGAAGGGAGAGAGAGAGGGGGTGGGAAAGAAGGAGTTCTCCCCCTTTGCGGCTTTTCTCTTCTCTCCAACTGCCAGCTTTGACCTTGAAGGCTCATTATCTCTGCCTGGAGTTTCTTCTGCAGTATTTCTTGTCCAGGTAGTTTTTTTCTAAAAATTTTTTTTCTCTTCTCTGTTACAGGAGAGAAGGAGGGCTTCAGTGCCACACCTGGCCCCAGCCAGGTGGAGGAGGGGGCCCTGGCCCACTTGGGGTCTGCCGCCTCTCCTACATGACTACCAATTTCATCAGCGCAACCACTTTCTCTTCTATTTCCTTCAATATGTAATTGGCAGAGGCATTACTAAAAGTTTTGATTGTTTTTTTCTCTGGAAATCCACCTGGAGAAAACCATTTTCAGCCCCAGAGGGGGCTGGGGGCCAAACCCATGACAGGAAACAATTAAATAAGAATTTCGCTGTGGTGTTGAAAAACCAGGTTAAACAACCTGATTGTAAAGCACATTCATTCACTCCTGGTAATTGGATATATGTAAAGGATTTTTCAGGAGACCCTCTGCAAGAAAAGTGGGATGGACCTTTCCAGGTGTTGCTGACTATGTTCACAGCAGTCCAGATAAAAGAACGGCCCACCTGGATTCACTACTCCAGAGTCAGGAGAGCCCCTAAGAAACTATGGACCTCAGAACTCGTAGGACCAACCACTCTCTAGTTCACCCAAATCTGACTACTGAGATCTTACGGATCATGGTGACTATAACCTGGGCTGGACCATTAGAGTGGCCATGGTCTCAACCTTATATTGGGCATTGTGGTTCTATGGGAAAAGATCTTTCAAGAGATTACAAATGGAACTAATTTTTGTGTTTATAATTTTACTAAAAGTAGAGGTTGTGATTTTAACTATACAGTTCCAATAACTACTGGGCAACAAATTAAAAATGATTATTAGTTGTATCATGATATACCTAAATTACAAATAAGTATGCATATTGATCTTTCCAAAACAATGCTAAGACACCCTGATATAGAAAAACTGGTCCAAGTAGTGAACAGAACAACCCAACTGTCCCAGTTTATATGAGACACAGGTCTTTTGCTGAGGATGAGTTATGAGAAAAGACCCAAACTCATCCCTCTAAGCAATTATATATCCGAAATTAAGAGACTCCGATTGAAGGAAAACAAGTTATGAAAAAGGAAAAATAACAGCCCTTTATTAAAAGGTATGTGTGCATTAGCAGAAACACAAAAAAGAAAAATCAGGAAAACAACCAAACAGTACTCCTATACCCACAAACAATCCTCTTCAAAAACAAACCAATAAACAGGCAAAGGGAAAAAGTAAACAGTTCAGTTTGCACCTTTTGGTGCAATTCCAACCACAGTCAACAGGGGGCGCCTTTGGGTCACTGGAGATGCAGAGCTTGCAATGTCTTGTGCCAGTCACCAGGTGGCACTGTTAGATCACTGGAGATTTAGAACCTGTAATGTCCTGTGCCAGTCAGCAGGTGGCGCTGTGGGATCACTGGTCGCCACCATGGTGTTGGGGGAAGAAACCCACAGGGGTGTGTCGGAGAAACCAAAAAAAAACTGGGCCCCCCTTCCCTTCCCACACACTGGGAAAGGAGAGAGGGAGAGGGGGGAAGGGAAACAACAACAAACAGAAAGTTCTCCCAATAAAAAAACAAAATGAGACTCACGCTGTTTGGTTGGTCAGAGTAGTGCAACACACCCCTCTCTCTCCCCCTGATGTGCACAAGGACCACCGCCAGGGAAAGAAAACCAATGGAATAGGAAAAAGCGGAAAACCCCCAGGGAAAGAAAAGAAAAACAAAAAACACAACTCCTATCCAATGAAGAATCCAGGCAAGACCTGCAACTGGCAAGCAGCTGAGAGCAGAGAGCACCACCAAACCTCCACTCCACCCTTGTTACAGCCACAACCCCACCCACCAACTCCTCCCCGTGTTTCCAAGAAGACAAGAGAAAAAAGTAAACAGTAGCTCCTCATCTGCCCTGTTTCCTAGGAGACTAAGTTTTGTCAATTAACAGAAGAGCTAGATCTTGTGTGTCTCTTAAATGCTTACCTGATATCTCTGCAAGCAGTGGGCAGGGGGGAAGGGAAAAAATTCTTTGCCTGGTTTCCAAGAACCAGCTATAATCCTGCTATCCCTCTTACATGTGTGGTTGTTGTACAAATTAAATGTCATAGTCAAGAGGACACAGATCAAATGGGCAATGATGCATTCCTGTTGGATTCCTTTGGAACTTGATGAAAGAATTCTTAAGTCTTAAGAAAAGGGGGGACTGAAACGAGAGCAAGGCCTAAAGAATTAACTGAAATATCTTGTTCGACTGAGAGAAGCCCCTCCATACCTGCTCCGACTAAATTGCTAAAGAAAGATTTGTTCTCTTCCGTTCCTTGGACCTAATCTTAAGAAGAATGCTAGAAACGTTATACAATGGGTCTGTAGGCCATAAATTAAGGCAAAGTAAGCCAAGGTAGACCTTTGAATAGGAGAAAAAGACCTGAAGCCAAGGCTCTCTCCAAGCTTCAGTGACTGGGGCAAAAGCAGTAGAAATGTAGAGAGGTCATATGGAGGAAGACTACAGAAGACCCCAGCCCCACAGGATGAAGGACTGAATGTACCACCAAGAATGGGGGCCAAGAAAGGGCTCCCCCTAGACTCCGCCAAGGCTCTGCCTATTATCAATATGTATGTTTTGATGTTGCATTCATATGAATATGTATGTTAAGCAATAATACAAGATTGTAGCCTTAGGTGCTTACTAACTAATTTTTAGAGAGAATTAGGATAGGGTCTTGCTTGCTTATGCTAACTCACAGAGAGGATAAAGTTAATTTTTAATGAAGACTTTAGCGGAAACAGAAAACCTTAGGGTTTAGATGAGGGTCTTTGAAGCTCATGAGAAAGAGACCTTGAAAGTTGATAAAAAGAAGCTCCTGAAGAAGATACCAGTTTTGAATTAATTGGACACAACTCAGCCGAGCCATTGTGCAGAAGCTGCAGGGAGGTTGCCCTCAGAAGCCCAGCGGCAGCTGAAGAAGACAG